ACTTTCCTATATCTTTGCCACCTACATTAGCAAGTTGGAGCACAGAAAATTACATTTTTGTACGCTGCCAGATTTAGAACCTTATGATTATGTAATTTCTTGATAAATATCAGTGATTGATAACTCTGCTGGAAGCTAGTGTGTTAGACATAATGAGAAACAATAAAATGACAGCAACAAGGAAATGTTCTGAGTAATGCTGTGGCTAGGAGAGCAGATTTCTCTGGGCAAGGAACAGTGGTTCATAAGAAGTCTCTCCCTTAAATATTTTTAGACTTCTTGCAAGATGAGCATTGAAAATTGAAAATCTGTCAGCTATATTGCATGTTATTTGATTTAAATAATACGTGTTTCAGTATGTAGTGCTGCTAAGTGGCTACTCAGGTGTGAATACATTAACATGTATGTGTGGTGTACATTAGACTCAAATGGACATCCATGTCGATAATTTTTCTGAAATGTGTAAGTACATGTATTTTTGGCAAGTCCACATAATATGTAGTGGATATATTGTAAGAATAGGATAGGAGATAAAATGCTGATTCCTGAAAACATATTTCTTAAGAAACTTGTTATTATATGTAATTTTGGAGGGAGGGGTTGATGTACATCAAACAAAAATTGAATTAAGATTTCTTTTTGTGTATCAGTTTTACTTTATCATTTATTAAGAAGAACAATAACAGTAATAACAACTGAAATGTGTTTGGTGTGCATGTTCACATCTTGCTGTAGTCAGAGTGGGTTAATTTCTTGCATATCATAAGGTAGTATCTTTCACAATCTTGTTTGCACACCATGCATACAGTTGTCTCTAAGGACATGGAACCTTTCAGTTGCTCATATCTTGTGTTAGAATCCATCGTTCACCAGATACGTCACCACATCCAAGCTGATAATTTACTTTTGTAAATTAATTTTTTGTTTTGGGTTGGTTGAATAAAAGTAATTTAAGATGGCCTTCGTATTGTCGTAAAGATGGAGCTAGTTTCTCCGCACTGTAAGGGTTTGTAAATTATTTATGGTGTAAATAGTGTTTGAGGAATTTTAAAAGGTAGTGCCTTACGTAATCTTACCGATTAGGCTACCATTCGCAGTACATTTCTCGCGATTGTGTTTGTCAATGATACATAGATGGCAACACAATACACAGGGCGCTGCGAGCCACCGGATTTATTTTAATAGCACTTATTTATTTACTGTGGTCTTACAACGTGTTTCCCATTCCATGGGATAATAACAGAATGTCTTGTGGAGTGGTGTGCATGTTATCGAATTTCTGTGTTTGACAGTAATAATTTTGTGAACAGACAGTACAACGCCATTGTGTGTTGCAACAGAATTCACTCTCAATTTTATTAGTACGAATAATCAAGTACAAGATTTGACAAATTATCAGTTATGTCGTTGTTTAATACTGTTTCTAAGAAAGCGTGTGGGAATCTGCTAAGGAGTAGAACCACGAGCATTAGTAACCCTGTCTTGTTCTACCATCCAAATGTAAGCTATATTTTCATTTTCGAATATAATTTTCATGCCGTATTTTCTGTACATAAAAAAATTGTAGGCTATTATTTTCGTCTATTTCCAGTCTCAAAATCTGCATTGAATTTTTAAAATTAGGTTATGTTATTGGTTTACATGGATTATTGTGACGTTGTATTAACATTTATTTAGTGTCGATGTTTGGCGTTTGTCAGTCAACGTTTAACGTCTGCAAGTTCATTAGCTCATCAGGATAATCTGTAGAAGTTTACCACCAAGTCCAGATGTGGCCTCTAAACTGTTTATATTAAACAAATTCGAGAATATTTTTCTTGAGGTGAAGAGCTTAACTTCATATAGACAATTCTAACCTACATAACTCTTTAATGGCTTTTGTATTTTACTTCAGTTTACAGAATCCAATGAAACATGATTAGTTGATACAGTGCTGTAATCTGAAGTGAGATTGTTTTCTTTTATGTTATAATAACACAGCATTGTAAAATAACTTGTGATCTAGTTATTGTCCTTGTAAAATAAGGGAAGTGGGTTAAAAATTGTTTGTGATGTAAATTGATCTCAACTGCCTCAAGATAATATACAGTGGTGTGCTTTTATTTTGATGGACCTTTGTGTTCCATAGTCCTATGATTCTGGTTTGGTTATGGTGAGCCTTTTCACTGCCTATTGCCAATTTACATCATGAGTGATTAATGAACAACAGACAAATGGTGTCAGCTGTCATTGCTCTGGAACTGCCAGTTGGACTTAGCTATTTGATTTTGCACATTTTTATACACATTATATTCTTGACTTGAATATAACTGTTCTGAAAATGACAGAAATAGGAGTCATTTCATTCCTAAGAATGGTAATTAAATCTCATTTATGTATTTATCATATGAAATAATTGGTGATAAGCTATATTGCGAAGAAAATATGTTTTCTCATAGCTGCCTTCTGGTATTTGGGGTCAGAACACATCAGGGCAGCAAAAATGTATCTTACACAAAAATGTATGACTTCCTTATTGAATTATTAGGTGGCTGCAGATTTTAATATAGATAAAATCTGTAATTCCTAATATCTGCTGAAATCTGCCTGTACTTCATTCTGGTTCTAAATGTGCCAATTTGAAGCAAATTTTCTTCTCTTTTTTACAGGTTCTAGATCATTATGAGAATCCAAGAAACGTAGGCTCCCTTGATAAGAATGATAAGCATGTGGGTACAGGTCTAGTAGGTGCTCCAGCTTGTGGTGATGTCATGAAGCTCCAGATCAGAGTAGATGAGAATGGTAAAATCATTGATGCCAAATTCAAGACATTTGGTTGTGGCTCTGCAATTGCATCCAGTTCTTTAGCCACAGAATGGGTGAAAGGAAAAACTGTTAAGTATATTTAAATACTTATGTGCAATTTTTTAGTTATTCAAACACATTTAAATGCAGCTATTAGATGTCATGTACAATATTTATACAAATCTCACTAATTTTAAGAAATTCATTAGTACATGTATAATAATAGTACCTAGTTAGTGTTTACCATTAAAACATTGTTGAAGCTCCTGTGATTTCCCTGCAATCTAACAGATGTTTGTTTGATATACAATGCTTGGTCTTTTCTTGTATATACTGAAAAAGAGACAGGCATTGTATAAGAATGAAATGCACCCAAAGATGCGTTCATACATCTTGATGTTTTGGACTTCCTCCCTGACTTACAAAGGGTTCAGTTCTGCAGACCCTTCCATAAGTTGAATTTTATGTAATGAACCCTTCTTGGGTGTTCTTTGTAGGTATAGAATTGCAGGTCAATGTTTTGAGTCTGTGCCAGCCTCCATCAGGGCTGAAATGATAAGTGATACAATTCCCATTGTATATATACCCATGAAGTGTTCTTGAAACTTTATGTTTATGCCTGTGAGCATGCCAGTAGGGACAGTGGGAGGAATCTGGTGTTTGTCTATCATATAGTCTGTTACTTAACCTGCACATACCAGACTACTGGCTGTTGCTGGCCCTACTTTGTCAGAGTATGTCGGTGGCTTGATTCCAGAATCAACTGAAATTAAATCCCATAACTCTGTTGAAGTTGTCAGGACTTAACTGAACCTCAGTGGCTTCTTTCACTGTGCTATCATTTAACCCACCTTTCTGGACAATACCATGGAGTCATTGAAGTTGATACAATCTCCTTCATTGATGGGCTTCTCAGCCACTGCTAACTTGTCTGGTTTGTATAGTCATATGTGTTGTGTGCTGGAGGCTGAGTGAACAGTTGGATGTGTGATGTGGTAAGGATATGTGTGGTGCTGCACCAATTTATTTATTATGGTGGAAAGTACATCTCTACTTTAAAAAATAGGATGTTCTGTTGCTTAAAACAAGTGCTAGATTTTGTATAAAGAATATCTTGTAACTTTAAAGTTGGGCGTGTGATTTATTAACAAGAATCCGAAACTCTGATTCAGGTTGAGGAAGCATCAAAGCTGAAGAACACTGACATAGCAAAGGAGTTGTGTCTGCCACCTGTGAAACTACACTGTTCAAGTATGTAGTATTGCATTTAAATATCATTTCATTGTGTATGTTTGGAGAAGTGTTATATTATGTTTTCAAACTTGTTTCAGTGTTGGCTGAAGATGCCATTAAAGCAGCATTATCAGATTATAAGATCAAACAAGAATCACCGGACAAGGAGCACGACAGCAAGGCATCTGGATAAGATATGCATACATCATTTTATTTATAGTAATATGGTAACTTCATATATCACCCTAAAATAATAATATCATTATTCTTATTTTTTTAAGTACTAAATTGTAAATACTGTATGTTACTCTGGTGTGTATACATAAACTATAATGTATTTACTAACACAATATATTTAGTAGATATTTCCAGTGTTTCACTTTCTTTAATGTTTAATTTCTGTGTGTAAATTATTTAGAAAAGAAATATGAAATAAATTAATCTGTAATATATCAATTTGGAAGATACAGATACATATAGTAAAGAATAAAGGTATTTGAAAACTGTACATGCATTAGTGTATTCACTATGTTCCATTTTCACAACCCTGTCTTTATATTTGACTTTGAAGCATATTTTTTGTCTTTATATGTCAGCTGTCTAAATTAGTGACAAGATGTCTTTTTGTGTAAAATGAACTGTACTGAAATATAGAATTCATATTAAGCACAATAATAGGCTTCACACTTGTTGGCATAATCTTGGTTAACATAAGTGTGAATATCCTGTTAACAGATTTTAGTTGTAAAAATTATTCCCCGTCATGTTACCCACAAAAGTGTGGTCATTAATTTTATTATAATGAAGAGAGACAGTTGCCTTGATACATACTTATCAGTTTATGCTACTAATAAGTATATTTATTATAAAATTAACATAGTTATCATTTTTTAAATATTGATTTCTACAGAAAAGGTTTGACAACCTAAACAATCTGCTGTGTCAGAAAGTGCAGGCACAGCTGTCCCTATACATACATACATCTTTATTACATTCCATGGATCCATAAGTTAGTCAGATGACAATAGGATGTAGAATAAGTCATAATAATACAATACATGTTATAAAAATACAAGTCATACTATTATATAAATGTCACAAAAATACAAAGGGTTCACATGAAGTAGAGATAAGTTACAAATAAATCCACCCATTATATACAATAGATAAATTACGACTTACTTGTAAACATTAGAAATTCATCGACAGAGTAAAAGGAGTGTGTAATTAAGTATCTTTTCAATGCTGGTTTAAATTGTGCCTTTTTATTTACAAGACTTGTGAGAGTGGGAGCTGGGTAGAAGCAGTCCATGCAGGTCCCTCGTTAAGACTTGTACAAAGAATAAAAAAGCCAGCTACCTGTAAGTTTAATATTACTGGCAAGAAGCTTTATATTAAAGAATGTAGTCTCATCTCTGCACTGGGATTACATTAAATTAACAAACTTAATGTGAGCTGAGTCAAATTTTGAAAATTATACAAGGTGAATATTCACCCTGAAGATGGTAACTGCAGTGTTTGCCGAAACGTCCCGTACCTACACACTATCTGGAAGCATATTCGAAATGCGATCGAGGTTTCAAGGTCATTTACCGTTATCTTTTAGTGATATGTGTAAGTTTCGACAACTGGGGTTGTTGGTAACCACATTTTTGAATCATGACACAATAAAAGAATCATAAACGTTGTTTCAGAAGCAGAGAAGCGGAATATTAAAGCTGTCATATTTAAGGCTCTACTCATTTAAAAATTTAAGCAGTTTTAGATGTTATACTGAAACATAACAGTACTTTTAATCTAAATTAATTTAAAATTAGTATTTGTATGATATTATTGTTACTGAAGCATTGGTATTTAATATATGTGGACGTAAAAATCTCGAGTAAATGTCCCTGCTTTTAAACTACTGGATTAGTAGCATCTGTGACATTTGATTACGGTACCTGTATGATATTTTGACCAATGATTTCCTTGAAGGGTGTATTTCGTTTTCTGTATTCCTTATCTTTCGTATAGCAAATCATGCAATATGCTGGTATACACTGAAGATGTTGGATTGTAATGGTAATATGTTTATTTCGTCAGTGCCAATTAAAGAATTAAATAACCGTACAAGTCAGAATTTCTGTGTATCTAAAATTAAGTACTGGTAACGGAAGAGAACTGATCAGTCGCCGCAGAAAAGTGTTTCAAAAGCAGTACAAATTCTTTATTACTGAATGTATCTCCATTTTGTCTAGTAGTAGCCGGAATGTCTGTTTATGACGCTCAACATGGCGGCGTTGTTGGTGCAGCATAAGAACTGCGTCTTATAATGTAGACATATTTTTACTGAGGTAGTGAGTTTATTGAACTGATAATACAAGTCAGATACCAAAATTCATTAAGGTATGTTCTTGGGTGGAAGGAAGGGAGAGTGTCATTCTCAAGTGTATGCATTTTTGAAACTGCCAGTGTATATAAATTTTAGCCCGGCATCGTAGGATTTAATGTTAACTCCTAGTATTTCAGAGTTTCTTATGTTGTTGTTCTGTGCATCAGTGAACCTGTATTTTTGTATTGAGACATGACTGATGTGTTCAGATTGTCACCCGTGTTCTAATATAAACTTTTCTGTGTAATTGTAGTGGGATTGTCAGTAAAAGTTAAATTTAAGCAGTGTATCTTGGTTCATGTGTGTGTGTGGATCTTCATGGCATTGCAATGTTCTTTTTTGCTGAATGATAAAGCGATATTGTATTTAATTTTCTACTCCTGTTACGTTTATAAAAGGGAAAACCACCAATTTCATAACTGGTATGTGAATATATTGTCACTGTGTAGTGTGTTGGTTGTAGTTATGAATACACTAGTCTAACTGTTCGTTTATGAATTTTACTCTGCAAATTCTGAATGAATGTGATGGAAATATTAAGAGACATTATTGCCACATTTATTGTTGAAGCAATTTAAATTTAGTGGAAATCTTATGTATTTTTGGGAAAAGAAAAGGCAGTCATAATTGTTTTTGCTAGAGAGACCTCTGTGAAAAATGTAGTAATCTTCAACATATTATAATCACTGAAAGAAAAATAAAGTTACTAGCTCTAAAGTAATTTTTCAACCTGTGGTTATTTGTGTATGAGTGTACATGTGCATAATGCTAACTAATTTACAAAGGTCACTAGTTGAGAAGCACTAATTTAGATGATGAAATTAATGAAAAATGAATAGCAGTACCTCAGCTGCAAGTGCTCAACTAATGTCAATACAGCTATTTTCAGTGACAGTAGCTTTGACATAATTTAATGACAAGTAAAGCTTTGACTTAATACCATAAGGTGTAAGAGAAGTGTTATGTGCTATTTCAATTGCCAAAATATGATGATGAATGTATAATGGGTTTAATTTGTTCTTGCAGGTGTCATACCTTTTGAAGTTCCTGTGTATTTAGTGTTATAAGGGCAGCAATCAGATATGTCAGGTCCACATGGTAAAGTGCGAGGTAAGCTGTCGTGAAGGTTTTTTGTGTACATGTTTCTTGTCTTTTAGTTGGTTCTTGTGAACTTCTGTAATATATTCTGCTTACAGTGGAGTCTTGTGTAGTAATTAATTAAGCTTGTACACATAGCATTCGTTTTTTCTGTAAAAAGAAGTGAAACCTAGTTAGAAAGGACTTCATTGTAAATAAGTCTTTAAAATAAGTACTTTTTCTTTGTCCTTGTCAGAATTTAATGTGTGAAATTTTGTAAGTAAAAATAGTTTATGTGGAAAATAGATTCGCAAGGTTACCTGTGTAAAAGTTTGGTTCTGCTGATGCAGTAGAACCATGTAACTGCTGTATTTAATGTTTACAGCATCACACATAATGTACTGAAGTGTCTTTGCTACTGTAGCAGAATGTAGCCTTTTATGGAGGCCTAAGCTTTGTTATTATGTTCACTAGAGTCTGGCACTGGATACCATCCTGAGTCACATGAATCCATATCACACTCTCCCACCCTGTTTTTATAAGATCCATTGTAATATAATTTGATTTTCAGTTTGGTCTTCAAAGTGGTCTCTTCCTTTCAAGTTTTCTGACCTGAATTTTATGTTAATTTCTCTTCTCCCATGCATAATGTGTATCTTAATTCTGTAAATAAGTTAGCAAGAATGGGACAAGGGGGTCATTCCTTGTTTCAATTGACAATAGTTAAGCTCAGATTTAAACTATTTGTAATCAAAGGTAACAGATGAAAATATAACATCAATAATGAAATGTCCAGCAACTAGAATTAGCTGTTCTGACATACAGACACAAATTGGTTGGTCTGTACACCAGTCACTGGTGATGTTGTTTTTTATATATATGTAAATAGAAATATTGCTTTTAATGTTATATTCTAGCCATGCAATACTTGACATGTTTTGTCAGCTTCAGACAGTTGCATGAAAGTGTTTATGTCGGAAAATGTCATATTCTAAATTTTTATGTACTCTTTTACCTTGCTTAGATTTACACTTGCTTTTGGTGTTGTGAAACAAAAGTTAGGAGATCAAGAATCTAGTGTTGCTAATATTGCAAGGCTCTCTATTCTTCTGGTATAAGTGATGTCTGTACAACATATTATTTATATTTCCACTTCAGTCACTTTATTATAAGAAAGATGTGGATTTGAAAATAATTTCAGAAGAGTTTAATGAAGATGTTTTATAGGCAATGGACACATGTCTGTGTTAATAGGTGCAGGAAGACCTTCAAAAAACAAGACGTCGTGTACGTGGTGTGGGGAGAACAAACAACCCTTGAAATATGTATTACCAACACAACACGGCAAGAAGGAATTCTGTTCAGAAACCTGTTTGTCAGAATTTAGAAAGGCATATGTAAAGGTAACAGTAGTATGCTATTTGCACTTATTCATTCTTTAGCAGAAAACCAATTATAAAAATCTGCCATCTGAAATAGGTTCATAGTAGACTGTGCAGGAGATGACTTTATATGGAGGGCAGAGTTGTTTGTATGGTATAGTAATGCGGTGAGGCCATCATGACTTATTTTCAGCAGCTATTATGACTTTTCCTGGAGAGGGGAAAACCACAGAAAGTCATAACATGTAACAAAGCTAAGATTTGAACTCTGTGTCATTTGAATAGAAGTATAGAGTGTTGTTGCTTTACCAGTCTGCATGATTCTTTTCTATTAATATGCATATTTGCATTTTTAGGGTGCCTGTCTGTACTGTGACAATGTTATTCGTGGTACTCCTGTTCGAGTTGAGCAGCAGGATTCATCTGCAAAGGATTTCTGTAGCACCTATTGTCTCAACAAACATACGAAAAAGGAACAGGCAGCTCAGCTGGCAGAACAGAAACGAGGTAGCGTGAAGGGCAATCACAGCGTAACATTGTCCATGAAAGACACGCTGTTTCTCCCATTTTTATGTACTAGTCCTAGCCTTTACAGATGTAACTTTAATTGCTTACTTAGTATATCTGAAGTATTTATTTATGCTTATTTAGGAAACAGTTTTATGTTCTGCTTCAAAATAGATGTGTGACCTAAACATTGGCAAGGGCATTTACAAAACATTATACATATGCGTCATGCCCTTTATCAGTGCACATAACTTGATGTTTAGCCCATTAGCACATATGACTATGCTACATTTATAAACATAATTGTTGGATTTAATTGCTCTGGTATAAAATATTTTAACAAAAATGTGAAGATTATATAATATTTCAAGGTATGTTTTGTCTTAAAACAGAATTTATGTAATGAAGTGAAATGTGGTCTGTGCAGAAGAAACGATTTCATGATAGGTGAATAGAATGAATTGTTCAAATATCAATTTTCATTTTATAAATGGCTATAGTAGTTCATTCTATTTTATTGTATATAAAATCCATCAAAACCACAACAATGAAAAGTATTTGTTGTATTTATACAGGGAAACGCCATTATACATGTAAGCTAATTTCAAATTAAGAAATTTAATTCAAAGGAAATAACAGATTTTGAAGGCAGATTAGAAATATGTAACACAGTTAACTTGTTCTGTCAGGCCAATTGGTCTAATTACTCATTACTGTAATGCAATGACGAGATGAGTAATTCAATTGATAAAACGTGCCATAACGAATGTGACAAAAATTTGTATTGTTGTTAATGTGGACATACATCGATCCACAGCTTTCTTTAATAACCTGTCCAATAATTTACATACTGTTTTACTGGAATCAGCCTGCTTACATAAATGTGTTTTCTTCTGCATATTGATCTACACAGTGCGGTGCAAAGGTTTCCGGACTAAGGCAATAAGAACTAAAAAACGAAGTTGGACTTTTTTTTTTGGTTTATTTACTCAAAATAGGATCCATTTGATGCAATGCACTGGTTAGCACGTGTTTCCAACTTCTTCATGGCATTGGAAAAGTCTTCTGTGGGAATCGCTTGTAGCTTGTTGGTCACTGCTTTCTGAATCGTCTTAATTGTGTCAAATCTTGCATCCTTTAGCTGCAACTTCAACTTTGGGAACAGGAAATAGTCTGCGGGAGTCTGGTGAGTATGGGGGGTGTTGTAACGTCGCGACTTGTTTTTGCGAATCTTGCATCCTTTAGCTGCAACTTCAACTTTGGGAACAGGAAATAGTCTGCGGGAGTCTGGTGAGTATGGGGGGTGTTGTAACGTCGCGACTTGTTTTTGCGCCAGAAACTGTCGAATCATTGCTGCCGAATGAGCCGAGGCGTTGCTCTCGCGTAAGGCATGTGGGACAAATCTGGCGCACATTTTTCGTTTTTGCAAATCTTCGCTTAGAATCCGTAGAACCAAAGGGATGCCAAGTGTGTCTGCTATTAACCAAGACGTCACATTTTTTGATCTTCTTGAACCATTTTGGCGACGGCGGCGATGTTGTTATCGGTTCGACTTGTTGTGGGCCGGCCACTGCATTCGTTGTCCTTCACTGACTCCTTACCCTCTCGAAACCGTTTGTGCCACTCTAAAATTGTTGTTCGGCTTACCACTGCATCACCGTAAGCCTTCTGAATCAGCTCCACAGTCTTTGAAGCCAAAATATTGGCTTTACAGCAATATTTAATCGCCACACGTTGTTCCTCCTTCGCATCCATCTCACGACCGTGACACTGCGCAATAACAATAGCTCGTATGAGACAACCCTTCTTAACAACACCTGCCACTACACTAACGGCACTTTGCACCCTTGTCAGCAAAGGTCTCTACTACGTATTTCAACCTCGGTCCGGAAGATGACGGTAGAAAAGTGGTAAAAAATTCAGTCCGGGAACTTTTGGACCGCATTGTGTATGTTAACTTAAAAATATCATGAAAAGATCAGATAATGAGTACATATAAATGTGTGTACACTCCCCCACACACTTCACTCACATTGCTAAAGGTTAAAAAACAATTTAAACTGGGATCTAAAAAGAGAAGGGGTCATTTCCAAAAGTAAATTAGTTATTAATTGTTACACTTTAAGAAAATTAAATAAAGATATGAAAAATTGAAATTATTTAACTTCAATATTTTAATGTTTTCCGTCAAATCACAATTTTAATAAAATTGTGATTTGACGGAAAACATTAAAATATTAACCTAATTCACAATATGACGCTAATATACTACCTTATTTAACTTTGTCCTAAAATGGTTGACATACACTCTGAGGTTTTTGTTTCTCCTTCATTTAGTGGTGTCCCCCGTCCCGCCTGATGTACTGTATTGTGTCTTTTAGTGGGCAGCACTGAACAGCGTTCTCTTGGTTCCACCTCTTCTCAAGCCTCCCCAGCTTCAGTGATGCAGTTTGACTCATATACAACTTTTGATTGGGATGTATATTTGAGGGAAACAAATAGTGTCACTGCACCACCAGAGTACTACAAGCAGGTAAACAGAATTTCTCTTTATTGTGTCCATATTGAAACTACCGAAGTTACTTGTATGAGATGCTGGTCTGTATGGTAAAGGATTGTAACTGTCATGGTGATTTTTTTATGAATTTTTGCATGCTTTTCTTATTTAACAAAGAAAAATTGTCTTGTTATATAATAATGTGTATGTGATTTTTGACCAAATAGATGGATTTTCATTAAATTTATATGAGTAATGTACAATTTATTTGGTTGATGTTTGCAAAGGCCCACCATAGGTGCCAGATGAATCCAGTCCATACTTTCATATTCATTTTAATATTATCCTTCTATGCTTAGCTGCCCCAGGTAGTCCCTTATTTTCAGTTAGAAATATTTTGTTTAATATTTTTGGGGAATTCCATTTCCACATATGTTAGAGCCTCTGTTTATAGTTGATCAAATATTGAGGAATATAGGGTACCCTGAAAATGGAGGCAGTTTGTCCCTAATAAAATATTGTTAACCACTTCCGCGTGGCATCGTAACCCAGATCACAGTTATCACTTCACCTCCATGAACACTTCAGATATGATGAAATATTCATTATAATTTTAATATTTTCAGCACATGACTCCTCCAACAAATGAATTCAAGATTGGAATGAAATTGGAGGCTTTAGATCCAAGAAATCTAACCTCAACATGTATTGCATCTGTTGTTGGAATTCTTGGTCCAAGGTTAAGGCTCAGACTTGATGGAAGTGATAACAAGAATGTAAAATTGTGATTTGACGGAAAACATTAAAATATTAACCTAATTCACAATATGACGCTAATATACTACCTTATTTAACTTTGTCCTAAAATGGTTGACATACACTCTGAGGTTTTTGTTTCTCCTTCATTTAGTGGTGTCCCCCGTCCCGCCTGATGTACTGTATTGTGTCTTTTAGTGGGCAGCACTGAACAGCGTTCTCTTGGTTCCACCTCTTCTCAAGCCTCCCCAGCTTCAGTGATGCAGTTTGACTCATATACAACTTTTGATTGGGATGTATATTTGAGGGAAACAAATAGTGTCACTGCACCACCAGAGTACTACAAGCAGGTAAACAGAATTTCTCTTTATTGTGTCCATATTGAAACTACCGAAGTTACTTGTATGAGATGCTGGTCTGTATGGTAAAGGATTGTAACTGTCATGGTGATTTTTTTATGAATTTTTGCATGCTTTTCTTATTTAACAAAGAAAAATTGTCTTGTTATATAATAATGTGTATGTGATTTTTGACCAAATAGATGGATTTTCATTAAATTTATATGAGTAATGTACAATTTATTTGGTTGATGTTTGCAAAGGCCCACCATAGGTGCCAGATGAATCCAGTCCATACTTTCATATTCATTTTAATATTATCCTTCTATGCTTAGCTGCCCCAGGTAGTCCCTTATTTTCAGTTAGAAATATTTTGTTTAATATTTTTGGGGAATTCCATTTCCACATATGTTAGAGCCTCTGTTTATAGTTGATCAAATATTGAGGAATATAGGGTACCCTGAAAATGGAGGCAGTTTGTCCCTAATAAAATATTGTTAACCACTTCCGCGTGGCATCGTAACCCAGATCACAGTTATCACTTCACCTCCATGAACACTTCAGATATGATGAAATATTCATTATAATTTTAATATTTTCAGCACATGACTCCTCCAACAAATGAATTCAAGATTGGAATGAAATTGGAGGCTTTAGATCCAAGAAATCTAACCTCAACATGTATTGCATCTGTTGTTGGAATTCTTGGTCCAAGGTTAAGGCTCAGACTTGATGGAAGTGATAACAAGAATGATTTCTGGCGACTTGTTGATTCAAATGAAATACATCCCATTGGCCACTGTGAGAAACATGGTGGAATGCTTCAGCCTCCTTTGGGTAAATTAAAAATTTACACATGATGTTACTGTGCTATGAATTTTGTTATTTTTAAGGATAGGAAGTTTTTAGTTTTTCTAGCTCTATGTGCCACTACATAGTAGTCATGCAGTAAAAAGCAGTATAGAAAACTGCAGGTTAATAAAAAATTATTCTTGAACTTACTGTACTAAGCAGATGACATGACTTAGAATAAGATTTTTTTCCTCAAAGATAATGTACTTCTACACATTGTTTTGTATGGGTGTGAAACTTGGTCTGTCATGTAAGGAGAGGAAAACATTGTTGAGGATTTTTTAGAATAAACTGCTGAGGAAGAATTATGACACTCTGGGCAGTTTTCTCTGGCCTTCTGTCTTTTTTTCTCTCCTAGGTCTAAATATTCGTGTCTTTTAATGTGAGGGAATATATGATACAAATATGTAATTATTCTATAATTATACTTGGTGGTTATTTTGTGTTGTAGAATTTTTCTTTATGAATAAGTTGTATGTTGGAGGGTTTTGACTTAAAGGCATCACTGATTGGATAGTTTTTATTCCAGTTTTTATTCCACAGGTTTTCGAATGAATGCATCTTCATGGCCAATGTTTCTTCTGAAGACATTGAATGGTGCAGAAATGGCTCCATCAAAAATATTCAAAAGGGAACCTCCTACACCAAAAAGTAACTTGTTTCAAGTGGGAATGAAGCTTGAAGCAGTAGATAAAAAGAATCCGCAGCTGATCTGTGCTGCAACTGTGGGTTAGTTAAAATTCTGGATAAAATTGTGATTTGACGGAAAACATTAAAATATTAACCTAATTCACAATATGACGCTAATATACTACCTTATTTAACTTTGTCCTAAAATGGTTGACATACACTCTGAGGTTTTTGTTTCTCCTTCATTTAGTGGTGTCCCCCGTCCCGCCTGATGTACTGTATTGTGTCTTTTAGTGGGCAGCACTGAACAGCGTTCTCTTGGTTCCACCTCTTCTCAAGCCTCCCCAGCTTCAGTGATGCAGTTTGACTCATATACAACTTTTGATTGGGATGTATATTTGAGGGAAACAAATAGTGTCACTGCACCACCAGAGTACTACAAGCAGGTAAACAGAATTTCTCTTTATTGTGTCCATATTGAAACTACCGAAGTTACTTGTATGAGATGCTGGTCTGTATGGTAAAGGATTGTAACTGTCATGGTGATTTTTTTATGAATTTTTGCATGCTTTTCTTATTTAACAAAGAAAAATTGTCTTGTTATATAATAATGTGTATGTGATTTTTGACCAAATAGATGGATTTTCATTAAATTTATATGAGTAATGTACAATTTATTTGGTTGATGTTTGCAAAGGCCCACCATAGGTGCCAGATGAATCCAGTCCATACTTTCATATTCATTTTAATATTATCCTTCTATGCTTAGCTGCCCCAGGTAGTCCCTTATTTTCAGTTAGAAATATTTTGTTTAATATTTTTGGGGAATTCCATTTCCACATATGTTAGAGCCTCTGTTTATAGTTGATCAAATATTGAGGAATATAGGGTACCCTGAAAATGGAGGCAGTTTGTCCCTAATAAAATATTGTTAACCACTTCCGCGTGGCATCGTAACCCAGATCACAGTTATCACTTCACCTCCATGAACACTTCAGATATGATGAAATATTCATTATAATTTTAATATTTTCAGCACATGACTCCTCCAACAAATGAATTCAAGATTGGAATGAAATTGGAGGCTTTAGATCCAAGAAATCTAACCTCAACATGTATTGCATCTGTTGTTGGAATTCTTGGTCCAAGGTTAAGGCTCAGACTTGATGGAAGTGATAACAAGAATGATTTCTGGCGACTTGTTGATTCAAATGAAATACATCCCATTGGCCACTGTGAGAAACATGGTGGAATGCTTCAGCCTCCTTTGGGTAAATTAAAAATTTACACATGATGTTACTGTGCTATGAATTTTGTTATTTTTAAGGATAGGAAGTTTTTAGTTTTTCTAGCTCTATGTGCCACTACATAGTAGTCATGCAGTAAAAAGCAGTATAGAAAACTGCAGGTTAATAAAAAATTATTCTTGAACTTACTGTACTAAGCAGATGACATGACTTAGAATAAGATTTTTTTCCTCAAAGATAATGTACTTCTACACATTGTTTTGTATGGGTGTGAAACTTGGTCTGTCATGTAAGGAGAGGAAAACATTGTTGAGGATTTTTTAGAATAAACTGCTGAGGAAGAATTATGACACTCTGGGCAGTTTTCTCTGGCCTTCTGTCTTTTTTTCTCTCCTAGGTCTAAATATTCGTGTCTTTTAATGTGAGGGAATATATGATACAAATATGTAATTATTCTATAATTATACTTGGTGGTTATTTTGTGTTGTAGAATTTTTCTTTATGAATAAGTTGTATGTTGGAGGGTTTTGACTTAAAGGCATCACTGATTGGATAGTTTTTATTCCAGTTTTTATTCCACAGGTTTTCGAATGAATGCATCTTCATGGCCAATGTTTCTTCTGAAGACATTGAATGGTGCAGAAATGGCTCCATCAAAAATATTCAAAAGGGAACCTCCTACACCAAAAAGTAACTTGTTTCAAGTGGGAATGAAGCTTGAAGCAGTAGATAAAAAGAATCCGCAGCTGATCTGTGCTGCAACTGTGGGTTAGTTAAAATTCTGGAAGGATCATGGATATATTTTGTTTTGTTTAAAAAGTACCACATGATATGTCAATATTTCTGAATATTCTAACATATCAACACTGTGAATGTGTTGTATGCAGATGGTGTAAATAATTCAGTTACCACTGTAAAAAGAAGTAAAAGTAAAGAAATGATAAAGCGTATGAAAGATCTGTGAACAAGATGAATTTTGCTATGAAATTCCAGATGAAAGCAGCTTTTAAGACTTGCCTGTTTGCTAATATAGTAACATGGTAATAATTTACATTTAAATGGAGGGCTTCAACTTGTAAGTACAATTAAATTATAAAAGTTACCCTGGTGCCTGAGCACCAAGCACTGGCGTCATAGCTTCATACATTCTTATGGTACCTATGCACTAGAGCCCTCAGTACGCATTGATTTGTTAGAAGGCTGCGTAGGCCTAAGAGCTGCTCAGGACATTATTGTGGTTGAGAGAATAATTTAATGGCAGTAATTAAATTGTGGTTGTTTCATCCATGTAAATACTCACTCTGTTGACTGGGCTATCCAAACTTTCCATGTATTTAATTTCAAGAATTGGTTTCCAGTTAATGTTGTTATGGTCAGACATTGACTGCCCAAATGAGGTATTGTTCTAGTATAAGTAAGAAGTTAAAATTAAGGTTCTTACACTAATAATATAATCTTAAACCACTGATGTGCAATAGCATCTTTGATTAATTTTATATTGTAGGGTTAATAGTTTCATGTAATTTCCAGGAGCTGTTAAGGGTGAAATGATCCACGTGACGTTTGATGGGTGGCGTGGAGCATTCGATTATTGGTGTCGGTTTGATTCTCGAGACATCTTTCCAGTTGGCTGGTGTGCCAAGAGTGGGCATCCATTGCAGCCTCCAGGGCAAAAGAGTAAGTACACTAATGTTCAGGCAGTAATTAATATTTGGAGACGGTACCATTTTTCTCTTCAAAAATACTGTACTGCAATTATATGAATAAGTTGCATGTTTTATTGGCATAAAATTGTATACGGTTATTATTTTTCCTTGAGAATTGCTATGTGCATCAAAGTATCCCAAGTTTTTGACGTAAATACGTCTATACGGAAGGGTCATTCGGCAAAAACAGCGTTAGTTACGAAGATGTGTAAGATCCAGTGCCGAGTCACTTTAAATGTTCAATTCCTCAGGAATGGTAAGAGTAAGGGCAATGTAACCTATATGTAAAATGATCAGTAAATAAGGACCTTTAAGAATCTGTAATGTATTTTATTGTAATTATAATTGTTTATACATTTATTGTAATTTTAATGAACCAATGTGTACAATTTTCAATGCATCTGGCGCGTTAAGCGCCCGCTTCTCGAAAACCGTAAGAGATGGATCTGGACATATTGCATACGAAATGCGTATTACCTCTTGAGCTCTCCATGTCTGTTTTCAGATTTTACATATCACAAATGGTTTAGGTTCTACAAACATTTATTTATACAAATAAAGGCGCATCACACTTCACGCTACTGCTGCGTTTGCGTATTTACGTCAGATTCTCCGGAACCGTGGTTCCACTGTCAATTTTTTTAATTGATGTAGTTCATGATTCTTGTAACACCATATACTTTCAGAATCATCCCTTTCTCTTACAATGTCATCTCAAGTCGCAATTAGATATTTATCACCCACAGTAATGAGAGCAAAGTATGTGTTGTTGGTATGGGATTATTTTACTGCAAGTTGAAAATTATTTAATGTAGAGAGGGAGACTGGAACAGAGCAGCATCCATCAGATGTAAATTCATCTTTGCAAACCACTTAATGAAAATAAAGATGCTTGAATCAGAGATGATCTGTAGAGGTATTCTCATATTAATAATCTATGGATACATAAGCTTCAAGACATGTTATGATTGGCAGATGTTACTTAGTGTGTAGATGCCTAGTGATCCTTCCTGGGTATTAGCTAGATGGATAAAAGATGCTGTATTTTGCATCTGAAAATTGTACCAATGAATTTAATCTGAACTAGTAATAAAATTATTTTCTCTTAATTTTTTTACTGTAAAGGGGTGGACCATCTTATAACTGAATACATGTGGCATTATAGATGAAATTACTTATAGTATAGAATGTCATGTAAGTGCAACATGGCTAGTTATAGTTGTGATTGTGTAGCTGCACATGGAGCTAGCCGGTACAAAGCGAGAGTGTGCAATATTCCACCTCCTCTGGCTGGAGTGGGTGGTACTCCTGGCAGCATGGAACCACAACAATTGTCACCAGGCAGTGCTGGGACTGCTGCAGCGACAGAGGCAAGTTCAACAAATGGTGGTACAATTGGTATCACTGTGACTGAACCAGATACATCCACAATGCAGAAACAAACAGCAGGTTTGTCAAAATATTTTATTTTTTATTTGCTGCTGAATCAAAAATTTGTTGTTACAAGTTGATAGGTGCAGACCAAATTGCAGTACACACATTTGTAAACATGCTCTTTACAGTTTCATATACCTCATTGGCCTTGGTGTGTATTTATTGCTAATGTATGGTGGGACAGTTAGAATGTTGTATTTATTTATCAGAACAATAAATAAATAATTTGACTACACTTAGAGTGTTAAAATGTTAGATATGTCTAAGTGATAAACATACAAACAGAATTTTACTGTTAATTGCAGTTTGTGTATTTGTAAACCATGGCTGTACGTGTGGTCCATACCTGGATCCTCGGAAGGTTGCAAACCTTCCAATGGTTTTCAATGGGAAAAGTATCAACCGAGTTCTGCGAGAGTGTGTGCAGTCACTTGTTGATGCTGCGCTGGACCAAAAGCAGATATTTGGATTATTGCGACAAGGAGAAGGGAGAGTTGTTATTACAGGTGAGAGGATAACAGGACTCCTGCATGTTATTTCACATACATTTAGTACAGTTAAATTATATTATTTTGCTTGGAAGTAGTTGTGTAGATAACTGATAACAAATTTCGAAGAAAACTACACTTCTGCTCTAGTGACCAATAAAATCCTTTAACTTAAAAGTGGAAAAATGAAAACAACAAGATACTTATTTATAAAACAATTATAACAAAAGAAATGTATTCAAGAAAATTAAGAAAGCGTTCTGCCTTTGTATGTAGGATTTTGTTGATGAGAGTGGATGAGAGATAGTTTGTGCAAGAAATGGAGGAATGGGGTTAGACTTCATGGAAAACAGAATCATGCCCTTAGAAGAGTGTAGAAATTTCTGTGCTCTGCTGTTTTATGTGCTAAAATTTTTTATGGGGATCTGAGATAATCTCATGCAGATACATTGGTTGAAGTTACTTTAATGAAGGTTACATCTTTTAGCTAGATAACAGATGCTTATTTAACATTGTGGTCTTCTCTTCCAGCATCATTTGACAGTAAAACTGTACATGTGAGGCTTCCTGTAATAGAAAAGGTGGCTGAGTTATGGAATTTTCTAGAGATTTTGTTTGAAGAACTTATGTGCTGTGAAAACTTCTACACAAGTCAGCACTTGGTTGGTGCCTGTTCAAAGTGCTCGAAACAAGGATTACAGTCTGTTGCTTTGAAGAAAGGTAAGTTTTTATGGAATTCAAAAGAAAGAAAGCTTTTGTGTGGGTATTTAATGTTGATAAATCTTTGTTGTAAACTGCAGGAGTGTTTCTGGTAAAGCACTTTTCTTTGTGGGAAAGTTTGTAATTAAAATGGATGCATTCTTTCTGTTTGTGGTACTGCCTTATAAATTAAACAGAAATACTAGTAGATACAATGTTTACATGATAACACTTATTGAAATCAACCTAGCATGTAAACCACAGACAAATGGGTAACTGTGCAAATGAATTTGATAACCAAGATGACTCAACTGTATTGGTGCTGTAGTTTAGAAACATATTCTCTTTTAGGAGTTAGAGTGGTTGTATTGGTGTTGCATGCTTTATTTTCCATTTGTACACCACATTTTCAAATTACATTGTAAATTTGTTATGTGAGTATTCTTAAAAATTAATTCTTGTCTAGCAATTAAAGTGATATGCTTGATTGGTAAATATCATTTTGAGACTTGTGTTATAATTTTATTCTGTTCCAGTGACAGTTATGGTCTTTGTATAACCTCTTGAATATGTTCTTGTTTGTTACAGAGGATTGTGAAGTTAGTGGAGGTGCAGATGCGGTGACAGATAATGATGGAGCCATGAAGCGTAGATGGTCCTCTGAGAGCTCTGACTCAAATTCACGGTTGGGTCCAGGTCCAACAACCACCACAGCACCTACACCTTCACCTTCTCTCTCATCAACCACAGCCTCTGCAGCAAAGCAGCCTCGAAAATCCGTGCCAGGTAAGATTTTTAACATTTAGAATTGTAAAGTTTTTAATTACATCAACACAGTGTTTCATAGTGATCTTGTTTATTTATTTTTTGTTAATTTCATGGCATTCAGTAGCTTAGATTTTATAGCATCATTTCTACCATGATTAATGATAATGGATCGCAGGGTATGTGGAAGGAAGTGTCCTTGGCTTAATTTAAGGTATTATCCCAGAATATGGAGGGATGTAGAGAAACCACAAAATTCTCAGTCCAGTTAGCTGGTCTTCATTCCGATACTTGAAACCGAGACCTCCCTAACCTGAAGCAGGGGTGCTAACCATTGAGCTGTTATGCTTGTTTGTAATGATTGTGATGATGTAGTTTATTATGAATAAAGTAAGCAAGTACATTGAAAGATGAACTGAAGAAGTTTTTAATACTTTGGAATGAGTTGCAGTTGTAGCTACATGCAATGCTGCTGTTGGTAGTCTTCAAAGATAGCATTTTGTGTTCTGTGTTTCATACAAAATCTGATATTATTCAGCAAATGATAAGCATACATTTATTTATGTGTTTCATGTATAGTAATACAGTGAAACCTCTATCCATCGTTCCCGGATGCATCGTCCGTTTTGTTCGGTCCCGGATACATCCCATATAAAATAATGTTCCATTTTCCCGCTTCTATCGTTCCTCGAACTATCGTTTTATCGCATCGATCGTTCAAAAATCTTAGTCCCGGCCCACAATTTTCCCGCAATGATCGTTTCTGAGAAATTAAAATGCTGGGTTTTGAGATAAATTAATACTGAAAGATGCACAATGTTTTTGGAATACACAGTAGCGGTAACCTGTTATGTCGCCCAACCAGCACAGATCCTTTTGGAATGAGGGG